GCGACGCTTTAGAGAGTTTCCCCCTCGGAGATCCGGGGAGAAACTCCCTACATTTCCTCATCGAAGCAAAAGGCGACAACGCCGCACATCCAAAGGTCTAAACCTTAGGTCTCTCAGGTGAGGTAAGTATGAGCATTGCTCGCTATCATATGTGGTCATTTGCACTTCATTGTTTGCATGTGCATGTCCTGCATGTTACATATTGTATGTCGCATATCGCGTCGACACTTGCACTTGAACTTTGCACCTTGCATTTGCACGTTGCACTTGCACTAGAAAATTGTGTCTCGCATTTGCACTTGCACCGACACCACCTACGCCTCGATCGGTCGTCTCGGACCGGTCAACACCATTTGTGCCTCGGTCAGTCATCCCGAATTGGTCGACTAACACTTTGGTTCGACCGGCCACCACGGCCCGGTCGACCGATCACCTGCATTTTTGTCTGTTTTGTATTATATCACATGCTTGCCTACTTGCATGTTGCATCATATGTGTTTGCATTTGCATTTGCATTTGCATTTGGGTGATGCTCCCCAGTGAGAATCACCACTATCTCTGAGTCACTGCCGCCTCGGTACACCTTTCTTCGGGCCGCTGTCTCCACGACACCCCCATCCCTTTTGGTCACTGCCGTCTCGGCACACTTTCGAGCCACTGCCGGTACGACACGCCCACCCTTCGGGTCACTGTCGCTACGACACACCCATTTTTTCGGATCAATGCCGCTACGGCACACCCATTTGTTCGAGCCGTTGCCTCCACTGCATGCCCACCTTTTCCTGAGTCACTGCCTCACGGTACACTCATCACTTCTGTCACATGATTGTTTGCATTTGCATTTGCATGTTTGCATGGATAGCGAGCCAGACTCGTTAGAAGAGGGACCCCGTGGTGGTGGCGCTGCCTTGACGAGCATTGTTTGTTGGGTTGATCCCAGTGAGCAATGCGAGTTAAGTCATCGGGATTGACACGAATATGACTGTGCTAAACATCTAATATATTTAACTTGTGTCACCCCTCTTCATGCACCCTTTAGATCATTCGGATCTTTAGGATGGGGCCTGTATGACGACCCCATCAAAGTCATACTATACTCAGACTTACCCCGTACTTAGATACTAAGCTGACACACTTTTTGTTAGATGGTGTGCTGGGTTAGGATTTAGGGTGCTTAGGTAGTCTTTTCGATGTCTGGCTATTGTTCTCTGCTGAATTGATTGCCCTAGCCAGACATATTTCTTCTGCATTGTGCTTGTGATGTGACTGCATGCTGCATATGTGTGGTAGTGTATTCGGGCGTTTTTCTGCAGGGAGTCATGTCTATTTATATATACACACACATGCATCGCTATGGGGGAAGCAAGTAATGATTTCTGAACCTTTTACTTGCAGGTGCTATTAGCTCCCTCACTTTTAAGACATGGCTCATGATACGTTATTTGCATGTGAGTATTCCCGCCGACACTTGTTTTTATGTAGGATTGAGTCTTTTTCTTTTTTCTATGTACTTTTAGAGTCTATGAGAGTCTTATAATAGAAATAAGATACGGGCACGAGTTCTGAGGCATTTGGCACGAGAACCACGTGGAGAGGATCAGGAGCAGATGCTCGTGCCCCGTATCTTAATTCTGTATTTTATATTGATATATAAAATTAGGACCGGGCATGTATATGCAGAGTCCAGCCGCCATTTTCTTTTCTGGGATATGTTGTTGACACAACGGCACCGGCATGTTTATTATTTTGATTTGGCTTGTTTTGTTTTTTGCATCATATTGCATGTCTGCACTTACATGTGTTTTTCTTGTTTCTTTCTGTGATTTATATGTGATTTCACGATATAATCTAGGCTCATTAAGGACCTTAAAATTGTAACTTTCTACAAAATCCTAAATAAAATATTCAAGGTAATTAAAATTTAAGATTAAAATATTCAGGATTTAAAAAATTATAACATTTATTTTCCTTCATATGTTAATAAGGCCTCCACAATACTTAAGGACCGCTCTAGATAACTGCATCATATTTGCATGTTCTGAGGAGGAGTCCCCGTGCTTCTCCAACCTGACTGACCCAGCATACCTCTTTATAGGTGGTTGTCTAGTGCGTCTAGGGTGTTAGAAGGCTCCTTGACCCAGACAGGGTGTAAGTCCTTTTGTTTGAAGTGTTTCTAACTTTGTAGCTGAACCTCCATTTTCTTTTACTTCCTAAGGCATCCTTGCCACTTCGGCAGGTATAAGCCCCACCTCTTGGAGCTCCAGCTTTTAGTCATAGGATAGAGTTTCTTTCCTTTGACTTGAGGGCTACCGAGATTCCCGTGGAAGACGCAATTCACGCATTGCTGACCGGGGATCTCAGGAAGTGTTGTGTCGACTACCTTCACGACCAGGTAGACTTAGGGTCCTCATAGCTGTGGATGACGGGTACGTGATACCCCGACCCAGTTACCTCTACCTTCCTTTTTGCTGAGCCCCTTTGAGCCCTGTCGCTCCTTGACTTTGTTGATATCATTTTGACGGCCCGATGCCGATGAGCTGTCGCCCATTTGGGATACGATGATTTGTCCTCTGCCCTTATAGCTCGGACGTGCTTTGACGTGTTTGGATATCCCCGTCAAGATGATTTAGGTTATTCCGTAAGCCCCGTGTGTTGATGAGCCGCTACCCATTCGGGATGTGAGAGACTCACTCTTTGTCTGATGGCTTAGCGCGAGCTTTGAAGCATCAGGACTGTTCCCACACGGAATAGCCTTCCTTTGAGTATCGATTGCCCCAGGTTCACGATAATCCAAGAGAAACTCCTTTTATCGAGAGTATTCTTGGGTACCCCCTAAAATATAATTAATCAAGTGGGATGTGTCCTCTTGTGAGTGCTCTTGACCCCAGAACAGGCACCTACACCTGAATCTCTGGTTATGGGTAGTCTACGTAAGTATTCTTTCGCGAATATCGGTTTGAGGTGCTTTCGCCCGATCTTGTTTGAACGGACACTCTTAATCTATCCTTGCGAGGTTTATCGCACGTAAGCTTTTCACGTTTTGTGTTTTCTCTTGTTTGTCGCATTGACGTATGTCCCTTTTTATTCAGTTCCTCTCATCTTCAAATCATTGAGCTGAGAATCATTGATCTAATTCGGGAGGGAGATTTATTTGAATAGGAGAAGTATACGACGATCGACAGACTGACGACTCCTTTTAAAAAAAATAGAAAAATGAATGGAAACAGAACTCTGGCGACTCTGTTAGTCAAATTAAATGTCAACCATCAAATGATTCGATTAGAATAGTTGTTTTATATTCGACTTATGTTAAGAAAGGTAGAGGTAGACCTAGGATGACTTGGGCATATTGTATCAAAAATGATCTTAATTTATTAAATTAAATGAAAATATGGCACTAAATAGGAAGCAATGGAGAAAAATGATTCATGTAGACGACCCCACCTAGTGGGATAAAGGTTTTGTAGTTGTTGTATTATATTTTTAAACTAATTTTTTGTGCTTTGTTCGAAGCTTATAAACTAGCTTTTAGGGAATAGAATAGTAGCAGAAACTAGATCACAAGTTTGAAGCAGCAATGGACGAGATCAAAGATTATGGCAGATCATAGGAAGGAGATGGTAAATAATATTTAATATTGTGGACAATACTGGCAAAAGCTCACTCTAGCGGAGTTGAGTGTATTTTGAATTTATCTAATTTGGGGAAATTTAGAATACACCAAAAATGGCCTAAGGGGTATTCAAAATACCTCATAAAATTATTTTTTTATTAAGTTTCTACAAAACAAAAACTTGAAATCTTAAAATCCTTAAATTATTTTACTTTATAATCCTAATACATAAAAAAAAAAGAGTCTAAAAGTAAGAAAATGGTTAATGGACTTACTCTTAGACAACGATAAAATTCACTTGCAAAAACATCAATACTAATACTGGAGGCCCAAAGATGCCTTGATTGGGTAATTAATTCTCCTTGTAAAAATAAAGACTATTAATAATGTCAATAGGCAAAACGAATAAATACCTATACAGTATTGTTTATGCGGAGAAACAATGGAGACATGTACATGGAGAAGCAACAACACTGGATATTCTTCCTCATGCAGGAGATAGCCAAGAGAAAATGGAGTGACAAAGAATTAGGGAATGAGCATCAGTACAAAAATAATAAGAGTGAAAAAAGAGATGAAGCAAAAGAGTAAAGAAGAGATATGTTGGAGTTGAACAAGCAACGATTCAGTTCAAAATTTGAGCTTTTGAGATACTCGAACATTTGAAGATAATCCAATCGAAACAAAAGTTTCGAAACCAAAAATAGATTGTGTATATCCCGTATGTGCCAACATGCCCTAACAGTGTATAGGCATGTCTTGGTCATCTCCAACTCTAATTCTGGATATAAAAAAAAATAAAATTTTAAACAATTTTAAATTTATTAGATACATGTTGAGGAAACTTGGATTTGTTTCCAATGTGTCTGGAACAAACATGGAAGGATTTTAAGGTGTTGATTCTTAAAATGTTATATTTTAGGGGCAATTACATACCGACCACCAGAAACTTGTTATTTACAAATCAACCATCCCCTTTAATCCATTTTTCAAATTCTCACTCAAATATCAAAACTCATGGTAAAACCCCAATGCATATTTTTCATTTTATCAAATTCTCAATAGTTAGATCGTGTCACGCATAAATACATTGGTTTGGTAGTTCTAGACAATCATCTGGATGGTTAATTTGTAAATATCAATGTTGTCGTTGGTCTGTATGTAATTATCCCTATATTTTATTGTTCATTGCTATTAGATCTAATGCTAGTGGTTTTGATTCTATTTTCAAATACTGGAAGGTGCAAGAGAGTTCACCATCAACGATAATAATCATCTAAAGAAACAGTATTATAAATAAAATTGAATTCACATTACCCTCATTGAGTGGTAGAAGCCATACCATCCTTATAAAGAAACTCAAGTTAAAAAATGAGCAAAAACTTACCCAACAAAAATCCAGCCAACGGGATCTTCATTGATGGCATCTTTTTCTCCATTCTTAATTCTGATCCTCCAAAATCAAGGTCAAGTTTTTCCAATATAAGAAAATGGATTGTCACAACCTTGCCAAAAAGAAAAGAAGAAAATTTTGTAAAAATCCCATGCACCCAAATATGCAGGATAAATCATCAAAGTGTGAAACAATGCACAGCAATACCCTGCAGAGCAACCGAGCAAGCTTGAAGCCCGTTAATTGAGATAAATTTGACATAAAACTTAGTGAAACAGAGTTCAGAGTTTCCTCATTATTCCTATCAAATTGAGGCAGCATAGTTGGTCTTATTCTATTTGGAAAGCCAATTTCTTTCACAGAATTAATAACAACAAGTGATACAGAGGTCAGAACCAATTTGGGGAATCCATCTGGAGAGCTGGAACAATGTAAATGAAATAAAAGCGAGTTATAAAAAAATCTCTTTAACTATAGAGAAAAAAAAAATGAGAAACTACTACATTAATAGATAAGCCTAAGAACCATAAGATCAATGATAATAAAATAAGAATTTCATAAAATGGATTCAAATGAAATAAATGAAGAGAAAATAGCAAAGGTTACAAAGTACAAACCTATTATTATGCTACAAATAAGAATTTTAATAGGGCTGTATATAAATAAATTGGCTGAGATCTACAGCCAGCAATCTTCAGCATGGGCATCAAGTTTTAATTCAGCCCAAAAGCTTGAGCTGAGATTTCTAAATGAAACCAGGAAAGCAATTAGCTTTTTTGGACAATATACAGCAATTAAGTCATACTCTAGTCATAATAAGAATGTTTAAATTCCTCATCAAAGATTATTAACAATAAAATCCAAACAAAGAAGTTCACTGGATATCTAGTAAAATAGGATACAAAATAATAATAGAATGAAATCTTATACAGCAACGTTAATTGAAACGCTACATATCCCCAATTGCACTAAAGCAAAAGAATTACAACAAAAAACCATAAATGATTGTCAAAATAGAACCATATTTCAGGTGACTACCTTGTGATTGAGGAATGCCTATGGCAATCCAGCATGCTTGATAAAACAGGTCTAAGAAAGCTGCATAAATTTCAAGCAAAATTTTTTGCAAACTCACACACACAGTATACGCAAAGGGACGAACCCAAGAACTTCCAAGAACTTTTGGTTGGCAACCTAAGCTCCCAACAACAGGCTTAAGTCGAGACAAATGAAAAAGAACAGGAAAAAGGATCAATAGTTGCCTTAAATATTAACCCCCGGGCATGAAAGTACAAATCAAACCATCTGCACAGAAATAGTACAATTCCAACTTTGCCACATTTTTCTTGATGCAATTATATGTGAACCTCGTGTAAGCTTGAAGTTTCATAATTTTGGAAATGTGAAGTCGCAAGTCATATATCAACTTTGTTTCAATTCAAATTTGAAAAATAAAAAACTATAAAAGAATTCTTGTTTTCATTTTGAAAGTTTCCTTTCAAATATGAAAAAAAAATTTAAAAGCTTTTTACCAGGTTTGAAAAGTGAGATTATACTTTTCTACTTTAGCTAAAATTTCTAAAAATTGCACCACTAGATTTCATGGAAGTTTTAAAATTATAAGTACGTAAGAAATTAATGTTTTCATCAGTCATGGAAAACAAATAAATCAAAATGAAAACTCTATAAATGATAGACCAGCCCCTAAAACTCCTTCGGCCTCGTGCTCCACTAAGTCAAGTGGTTCAACTAAACCCACGCCGAGCAAGCCAAATAATTTGAAGAACTATTTTAGGCGCGAGTCTAAAAGGGAGATTTAGTCATCTATTAGCTATTATTGTTTGGTATGAGTAAGGCTTAATATAATTTGGGTCGGTGAATGTGATTGTTGTACTGAATCTTAGGGTTAGGGTGTGGGAGAGAATTCCCTAGGTCTCGAATTGTAGGTATATCTTTTATGTATTTTAGATTGTTTTAATTTTTGTCACTGGAGTAAGATATTTTATTTTGTCCTAATCTCCGTGAAAAATCGTCCCATTCTTATCAAATTGGTATTAGAGTCGTACTTAGAAGTAATGGTGGCCGAGAAAGTTGATGTTTTGGAGTTCATATTAGAGAGAGATGAGTCAAATCGAATCGGGACTAAACAAGTGTTTCTCGTCGATTTTTGTCCATGGAGGGGCGATTCACGACCATGGAAGAAATGATGAAGAATATTACAAAGTTCCAAGCAAACCCACTGACGTCTGCCGCAAAATTGAGTGATAGTGTCAGAAGTAGGCCTAAGCAGCAGCGATCAGAAGAAATCGCACATACCCAGACGACTTCAGGTGGAGTGGGTTATGCATGGGCAAAATTGTTGCTTTAGGTGGATCCGGGCTAGAGATGTGGGATCAAGTAAAGAGAGTCGGGAGCGAACCCAAGCGAGACTTCATAGAAGGAAATGTGCGATATCCACACAGCTAAAACAAGCGGAAACAAATAGAAAGGAACAGATTTGGACAGGAGGGATTGTGTGACATCATGGGGGTTGGAGCGGAAAAAAAAACAGGAGGAACGGGATGGCGGCGTGCAATTCAGGGCTAGTAAAGATTGATTCGAAGGATTTCGACCAGTAACAGAGAATCATAGTGGGTGGGCCCTCAGCCGACGGCTGCATCTAATCACGCTAGTACATTTTGATGTGCAAGAGCAGCAGCATTTTGGGCAAAAGGAGATTCAGGAGCCTATGGGAACGAATGAGCTGATTATGGGACAAATTAGACTTACAGGGGAAAAGAAATTAATATGGGTCGAGGGATGGAGCACAACTACCGCTTCATGAGTGGAACAAGCTTCGATCGAGAAAATTGGGGAGAAGACATGCATAAGAAAGTTGAAATGTCAATCTTTGACAGAGAGTGCCTATTATTGGGTTTGCGTGAAGAGATACTTATTAGTTAATGGGATGACGCAGAAAGAAAAATTGATGACGGCAGCCTTGTGTTGAGAAGGGATGGCTCTAACAAAGTATCAATGGAGAAAACATTAGTCAATTAGAAAATGGAAAAAAATTCAAAGATCGATTGTTGGAGCATTTTGGAATCATGTAGGAAGAGGATTTACCTGAGCAATTTTTTGCATTTTTTGCATTGGTTGAAGAAGGATCCGCCATAAATTATAGAGAGAAAGTTAAGATGTTATCCGCTCATTTGAGAGGGATAACATAAGTAGTATTGGCAGAAACTTTATGAAGAGATTGAAGCTAGAGAATCGAGCAGCACTTCGCCTGTTGAGACAGCGAGGATTGGAAAAAACTATGGAATTAGCACAATTTAGTGAAGATAAAAATACAATGGAATGGGCTAATAGGGCAACACAGTTGAAGCGCCATATAGAAATGCTACAACTATGACGGTACCAAAAACTCAAAGATTGAGATTCCAAAGAGAGGCTCCACGGAACAAGAATGGGTCACGGCTAGGAGTGACCTTCAAATGCCTTACAAAGCCAGAGATACAAGAGAAGCAAGCCAAGGGGCTATGTATTAAGTGTGAGGAGAAATTTTCCCTAGGACACCATTGCAAGTATTGAACATTGTAGGTTCTCATTGTGTGTGATGAGAAGGCAGGAGAAAAAGAAACGAAGTAGGTTATGGAGGAGGAGCACCATCACTTGGACGTGGCAGATGTCTCATTGAGTTCAGTGGCGAGGTTCACATCGAACAGCACTATGAAACTTCAGGGACAAATAAGGAAGCAAAGCATAGTGGTATTGGTCGATAGTGGGGTCCACACACAATTTCATCTCCGCTTAAGTAGTTGAGCAATTGGGGTTTGAGATGGTGGCACACAGGAAGCTTTTGAGTAGCAATGGGGATGGTAGGATGGGACAGGTGACGAAGAGCAAGGGAGTTTGTAAAGGGCTGATTTTAACATTGCAGAGTATTCAAGTGGTGGAGAATTTTCTTCTTTTGGATTTAGGGAGCAATGATGTAATATTGGGTATAAAATGGTTGTAATTCTTAGGGGAGACTAAGATGAATTGGAAACTCCTAACAATGAAATTTCATGAAGGAGACAAGAGGGCAGTGCTTCGCGGTGACCCTAGTTTGTGCAAGGCCTTGCTGGTACTCAAGACCATGATTAGGACAATTAAGGACGGAGGGTTTGAATTCTTGATTGAGTTACATAGCATGGAAGAGACACATAATACAGAGTTGAAAGAGACAGTTGATAGGAAGTTGATAGAGATTCAGGCACCAGTCCAATAACTCTTACAATAGTTTGCAAAGTTTTTCAGTTGTCATGTGGAATGCCTTCTCGGAGAGATCACGGGCATGTGCTAACCCCAACGCCGGAGGTTTCTACTATCAGTGTGCGCTCATAGCACTACGCCAAAGTACAAAAGGATGAGATCGAGAGATTGATCCGAGAGATGGAGGCAGGGATCATACAACCTAGTGTGATCCCCTTCTCTCGATCTCGCTACTGAAGAAGAATGGGAGCTGGAATTTTGGTGCAGATTATCAAGAGGTAAATAAGGAAACAATACCTGACAAATTTCTCATCCCGGTGTAATGAGCTACTGAATAAGTTTTTTGGGGCTGCAATATTTTCTAAGTTTAAATTGAAGTCAGAATATCATCAGATTTGGATGCGGCTATCGAATGTGTCAATGGCAGCTTTTCGAACTCATGAGGGTCACTACTAATTTTTTGTTATGCCACTTGGACTCACCAACGCCCCAACTACATATCAATGACTAGTGAACAAGGTCTATCAGCCTTTTCTCTAGAGAATTGTGTTTGTATTTTTTGAAGATATCCTAGCGTCCGGCTGCTATTTAGAAGATGACATTGATCACTTGAAGATGCTGACGGTACTCTATGAGCACAAATTCTACACTAAATTGAAGAATTGTTTGTTTGCCCAACCGAAGGTGGAGTACTTAAGGGATGGTGTCAGTTGCAAGGATGTTAGTAGATCAATCGAAGGTAATAGATAGGCTAGATTAGCCACAACCTAAGATCTTGAGGGAGTTGAGAGAATTTTTTAGACTTATAGGGTACTTATCAAAAGTTCGTGAAAGGTTATAGCTCGATTGAGTGGTTCTTGATGGATCAATCAAAAAAGGAAAACTTTAAATGTGTAGTGGGGGAGGGGGGCATGCTTTTGAAAAGTTAAAGAAGGCTATGAAGAGTGTACCAATGCTGGCATTGCCTAATTTCAACAAACCATTAATTGTAAAGATGAATGCTTCTGCCTATGAGATAGGTGCAGTCCTTATGCAATGTCAATAACCAATCACTTATCTCAGTCAAGAGATGACTGCGAGAGCCAGACACTTAAGATGGTTTATGAGCGAGAATGTATGACGATTGTGCTTGCTATTCAGAAATGGCGACCTTATTTGTTGGGATTGTGTTTTACAGTATGCACT